AACACTGATATAAGTGATCACCCGGATTTAGACCTACCTATGTTATATAAAGCGTTCACAGGCAAATTTGCTTTATGTTTAGGTCTTGCTTTTATTTCCCCGGTGTCGAAATCAGGCAAACATAAATGTCAGGCAACACTATTCCTGGCTGCATGTCAATATCCCTTTTATCACTGGATCTTTAGTAAGTTGTAAGGAACACTATATTAAGTCCAAATCTAAAATTGATAAAATTGTTCGATTTAGTCGCATTTCCGCAGTTTTTCCCTATTAAATCCAGTCACGCAGCAGATCTTTTGCCACTCGGTCAGGCTGAGGGGGGTTGTCACACGGGAAAGTCATGTGTCAATGCATTCCCTATATATATATATATATACTGTATATATGTATGTATATATGTATATATGTATATGTATATTTTTCATTTGATGATGTATTGCCAATTTTAGTGGGATTTTCAGATTTATTTAGCATTTTGGTTCAGTTTAATATAATTAGTGTAATAGCTGACAACTTTCAAGAAAACACTTTTTCAGTGCCCTTAAAGAGTTTACATAAACAGCTTTAATTAAGCCTTCCAACACAATAGATTCATCACAATATGTTACTCTGGTATATTTTTTTACATTTTCCACGAAGAGCAGTGTGCTGCTGAGATTCAGCAGTTGTGCCCTTCCCCTGGGCACCGGGCACATGTTTCGCTGTCGTCTCCTGTGCCACACAAAGCTGTCGCAATTAGCCACGAAGCTGTGTGCCTATTGTCATCTCTGCTGATATCAGCTGCTGATGTAAGCAAGGACACTGCCTCAGGTGACCCACACTGAAACAAAAGGCCAGGCACAGGGGGGGGGAAGGCCATTGCTCATCAGCACCACTTATTGACGGACTTCTGCCTGAACCAGTAATGGGCTTAGCATCCAGAGGCCCTCTGATGATTGAGAGTTGGAGGACAGCTTGAAGATTCTAATACTCATTTTGGATCAGATCCCCCATTTTTTTTTCTGTCCCTGGATAGTAGTAAATAACGAGTACAGCTCCCTTACGTCCCTCTTGTGTTCTCTGCCTCCTCCCTTCTCAGCGAGAACATGCTCCAAACCATCTGCCTGATGGGAATCGCAGCATGCAAAGAGTGATGGAAACCCTCCACTTCCCTCTTAATGTCAAATAATAACCTGAAGATATTATTGCTCATTTTGATTGTTTTATTTGTAAGCCCATGCTTCATCTCAGAAATCTCTCCTTGAACTGTTCGCCTCAAGTACTCAGTGCCCATATTCAGAGGAGCTGACAGTTAAAGGTACAATATGCAGGATCTTTCACCACCAGGGTTCGCTAACCTCTTACAATAACAAAGATGTATCTGTCACTCTAGGACACTCTAAGTTAGTCGGGGACGTGTTGCTCTCGGCATCTTGAAAGATCTTCGTTTTAGTCCTCTTTTTGTCTCAAAGTCTGCTTGTCATGGTCCATAATGTTTGAACAAAATAACAACAGCGTGAGCGTCCTGCTAGGCATAACCCAGTTGTCCACGTCTGTCGCCATGGTTGCTATGGCAGTACGAGGTCAAACCTGGCGGAAATCGGGGGTAACGCGGATATGACGCCATTGTCTGGCAACTCCTCACCCCTGCTCACAAGCCCAGTTTCCTTGGTTAAAATTGCAATTTTCTCACGATTTTACAAATAATATGAAACATTTGGGATATTTTAATTAATAAACTAAAAAAATAACACTGACCGAGTGGTTTTTGGATATTTTATTGCAAAAAAATCCTACATATTGTACCTTTAATGTTTGATTATGTTTCAAACATGTTCGCCGAACGGCAAGTGGCTGGAGACTTTTACAAAGGCTTGCTGTGCAGCTCTAAGTGCAGTGTTATTTAAGTCTTTCATTTTTCTGATGGTGGAAGCCCTTTTTGAAGGGCCTAATGGCAGCGGTACGCCGATAAGTTCCTTCAGCGATTTTTAAAGGCCTTGCTGTGCTTTTGTGCCAGATGAACAGTTTTAATGATAGAGAGTTTTTTTATTTTTATTTTGAGACCTAAAAAGCGGTCCAACACTAACACAGTGCGCTGAAATGGTTCCCTGACCACCTGAAGGTTCTTTACATAAAGGCCTAGCAGCAGGGATTGCAAAAGTCTTTCTCTAGTTCTTGGCTAACCTCCTCAAAATAAATGGAGCAAAATTAAAAATAGAAAAATTGCCTTATTTTTAAAATCAATACTTGGAGCTTGAATAGAATTGGCCAGGTGTGTTCATGTACATGAATGTTAACCGTTTCAAATGTGTCTTTTCTCTTTACGATTGATTGATATAAGATAATATAATTTGATTAATGCATTAATCAATACTGTGTCAATCATACATTATTAGACAGCACTAAATATTAAGAATAATGATGACGATGATAAGTCGTCATCATCATTGTAACGAGTTTAATTCTACATTTGGTTTATTTGTTGATAGTTTCAGCAATGGTTTTGATTTTATGGTTTTGTTGAAAAACATAATTTTGCAGTTTAGTTTTTAACTGAAACTTTAGAATTTAGCTTACTTGGTGTTCAGCAATTGTTTTCATTTTATAGATATTATAGATATTAGAAGATGCTAAATGACTTACTAGTAATTAGTAAACTATTAATACCGCAATTGTATCACTCATAATCACTTTCCGTCAGCATTTCCTTTGTTTCTAATTTGCAGTTGTCTCAGTTTTAAGTCAAGAAACATGGCAGATGAAAATGCTTTGCGATGATACCATTCATTCCAGCTTACGTAAGAATAATAATCAGGAAATGTTCACCACTCTACCAGCACTTTTTTACTAAAAATCACAGATTTGTCCTATTCATTCCTATAGGACATTAAGTACAACTTTTCTGAGTTAGCAACAGGTGCGGATCTTAGTGACAGATCAAACACTGCAAAGAGCCTCTTTTTAAAAAAGTTCAAGGCGACTTCCCCTGTCAAAAGTGCACTGCAAGTCACAATGGATAAAAATAGTTTTCTAAATAGTTGACAAGTAAAAACTAAAATTCATACAGTAATTCATATTTGAATCTAAATAAACCTCTACTCTTAAAAACACCCAGATTCTTTATAGTGCTCTTGATCTCCACCTTCTGATCCAGCAAACACGCCTCTCTCATGTACCTTTGCGATGGAATTGCTTGCTATTCTGGGCACCCTTTGCACCACTTCTGTCCATCAATCTCTGATAAATATTGAGGAATACTCAAATGAACCTGAATACTCAAAGCCAACAACTGGATTAGGACTAGATCCTATCTTATCGAGCCGAGAAACACCACGTTATGCTTTAAGCGCAAAGTTTGTGTTGCCATAACAGTGATTGACATCTCTAATGTTTCTTTCCATAACGAGCAGCTCTGCATCACGGCTCTCCTGTTGTGTTTGAAGTGCTCTCTGCCCTAAGGTAATGCACCAGGATAAGGGCTCACATTCCTCATGTTATGCGCTCGCTTCCATATTTCAGTCAAGGCATTTCATCAGCTCAAAGCAGAAAGGCAGGGCAAATTCCTCTGTTATATCAGAGGAGTTACCTGAAGCAGTAATGTAGGTTTGTTATCAACATTTCAAAAAGTTTGCCGCCTTCCTGTGCGATTTAATGACTAATTACATACGATAGTTGTAAAGGCATTCATTTATTGTTCTGCATCATATTCGTTTGGCAGAAATAATAGTGATTGTGGCATGTGATTTGAATTTTTGATTCAACAACTGGGTCTGCAGGAAAGGCAAGCATATGAAAAGGTCATTTTATGTAGTTATTATTTATTTAGGGTTCTGCGTTCCTGCTATATTGATTTAGGGTGCTGCCGGGATTGTCTGTACCATTTGAAAATGATCTACGTTAACAATGCAGCTCCCACCACTGATTCAAGTGTGTCCAGTTTAGACATTTTATGAGTTTTGAGAGCTGATATTTCAACACATTCTCATCCTTTGGCGTCATATTGGTGACGCCATATAACATTTCGTCGAAATACTACGCACATGGCACCCTTTACCGTCAATATAACACGCATAGGTTTAGGTCTGAGTTAGGGTCTGCGTCTCATATTGACGCTAAAGGTGCCATGTGCGTAGTATTGCGACAAAATGTCATATGGCGTCACCTATATGACGCCAAAGGATGAGAACGGGCTCGATATTTCGACATGTCAGATCTCCCAGCAGAATCCCATTTCCTTTCTTCAATGCTAAAAAAATGATGTTTTTACTAATCAAAAGTGCTTCTTGATCACTATGGGCTAAGCTGTTCACTAACTGAAATCAAACAGTAAGGGAAATTTGAATAATATGACCAGTTAGATTTGGTAATATGGTTTAATATGTGAAAAGACATTAAAGGGATAGTTAACCCACAAATGTTGCAATTTATTAGTTTGATTAGAAATGGTATTTTTATCACGAAAATATGGTACTAAGGGGAAAATATGCTAAAATATTGAAGCTATCTTTTTACTTTGGAATGTAATTTGAAAAGCATTCTTTAAAATATCTTTAGTGTGTGCTTTGCATAATAAAGTAAGTCGTACGAGTTGACATGAACAGGAATGACATGAGGGTGAATACATTTTCAGTTTTGGGTGAACTATTCATTTAATTACCATATTTTTGGGATTAAATATACCATTTCTAATCAGGCAACTGAATAGAGTAGACATAGAAATTTGTTAAGGAAATGACTATGTTCAGGAAAGTGGATTGGATTCTGTCTGATGCTTTTTGTCCCAAAGTACCACTACTTTTGACACCCCTAGTTTTAGCTGAGTGAAAATGCCCTATTTGTTTTGATGTGCAAAACATTTGATTTTGTCCATTCTCAAAGTGTTGGTCATTGTTGTAGTTGTGTGTAAATGCTTGCTTATCAGTTCCATTTGTTTTTTCCCCCCATTTCTCCTTTTTATGCATGCTGTTCCTCCTGTTTCCCTCCTCCTTCCTCCACCGCACCTCCTCTCCTCGTGTGCTTAGACGCTGCGCCCAGCACTGAAGCCGCAGCTCACGGTTGGTACCTCTCCCTCCTTCTTCTGCCAGCACAGCATGGCGTTCTCTGCATGCCAGCTGAGTACAGTACAGCACGTAAAGGCGACATGCACGGGATTTGGGAATGAATCTAATGTGGATTTGCTGTATGTGTCTGTCTGTCCATCCGTATGTCACATCCTTTATCCCTATTGCCATTCACCCGTGAAGACCCACCTGTCCCCTACGGCGCTCCTCTGGTAGTTTTAATCAGAGCTTTCGCGGTGTGATTCCTGGGCACGATACACATCCGTCCCTCCTGCATGAGCCCTTCTCGAGTCCTCGTTGCCATTTTTGACTTCTCACCTTTTTGAGTCCTGGCAGACACTCGTAATCCACCCGCAATAATTTTTCATGAATTTAAATGACATCTTATTGGATGTTTTTGATTTCTGAGAAATGAACGGGAGAGCCTTTTCTGTACATGACGCAGATGGCATTGTACTCCACCTTGGTGCGCCAGCTCCACACACAAATCACAGAACGGGGACCATTTGCATAGCTCACGGGCTTTATTCTGTTTTACAATATACAATGAAAGCGCTTTCTCAATTCATTAAGCCCTTTATCCCCGCTCTCAGTTTGCAGTGGCAGATGCTTGTGTAAATGTGTTAGATTTAGTATAAAGGCTTTTCGTGATACTGTGTAATTATGTCACCTGTGCCTCGTGAAACACCCTCTAATGATTTAATTAGCCGTCATGTTGTGTGTCGCACCGGATCACACCTCGAAATCGACACTTTTCTCGTACCCCCGGCCAACTCGCGAATGGATCGAGTTGGGCCGTCGCCGTTTGTTTACATCTATCTGCAACTTACCATATAGAAAAGGTTAACGCAAATACAAGCGGCAGAACATCTAAAGGTTAGGGCTATTCTTTTGCATGTGCATAATTTGGACGTGCCCACAGAACGTGGTCAGCCTTGACTGTGTAGCAGAGCTATAATAGAGCTTTTGTACAGTTCACTGCATTTCTAAATACCATGTCACAAGGCCAGAGTTAACCTTGTACAGTTATATCAGCCTGGCAGTGATGTATAACTGAATCACTGTACGCTTTCCAATAATCCAAAGCGCTTTTTGATGCTACAAAAGGTAAGAGAACACAAGGTGAACCCAGGGGGCTTTGTCTCATCAAACAAATTGGCTTTAAATGTAGTGCTTCTTATCTTTGTTTTGTCTAGGTATGACATAGAGCTTTTTTAGCCTAGCTTTTATGTTGTTGCGGTACAGTGAAAAGGGTTAGTCATTTTAATGATTCCTGTCCGCTCACTCATTTTCGAAATGGACAGGAAATGCTTTGTTTGTAAAATGCCAAGCACGCTCCTTCAGTCTTTAATCCGACGGTGGAATTGATGTCCTGACCTGTTGCAAATATGTGTTTCTGCTAATGTTAAAATGCTTGTTTGTGTTGCAAACAGCATTTCGCACCCTTGTTATATAAAACAAGAACTGCAGAAGAATTAAGTCACATCGTTTGCAGAATAAAGACGTCTAGTCTAGTCTGACGCATAGAACGGCTCGTGATAGCAGAGTGAAGCGTCTATGTTGTTCCTCAGAAGATCCTCTCATTTGCATCTTGTCACACCTTGTGTATTTTATTTGGTTCACTTTTGTAGCTGATGCACATACTCTGTTTACCATCTTATTTTCTTGGGTGTGCTACACTCACTGTTCAGGAGATTTCTCTTCTCTCTGATAACAGTCTTTTTTACCCTCTCTGGTGTAGCCTAGCAACAAGCTGTTCAAGCAATAAGTGGGGTTTTCAGCAGAGGTTGAGGTAGGAGGCTAACATAGTGGGCAAGATTCTATATAGAACAGAAAGCTACAGCAATACCACTGAAAACATTCTTTTTTGTGTATTTTTAATGCATTTATATTCCCCCCTTTTATTATCTCTCTGTTTTTTTTGTCTGTACACTATTGTGATTTTTGACATAAGCTAATAATTTTGCAAAAAAAAAAAAAAAAAAATGTTTGAATATATTTTATTGTGGCTTATATTCAAGACAATATGAATCCAAAATGTATTCTTCTATCCATTTGCAGGGGCAAAATCCCAATGCTAACAAGCCAAACCGTGACCCCTCAATAATATTAACCAATAAAATCATAGCTGGATTTTCACAATCCAATTGATAAAATAAAAAAAAAATAAGAAAATCCACTGTAATAATTTTTCGGTAACACTTTACTTGAAGGGGTGTGCATAAGACTAACATGACACCTTCATAATCTTGACATGACACATGTTATGAATATGAAGTTTTGTGTTTATGACAACTGTCATAAAGTGTCATTCGCTCAATTATGACATTTTGAATGCAAATGTGACATTGTTTGAGATGCCTTGTTTATGAAAACTTGACATAAACCAATACATCATAACCTGTCAGTGTCTTTGTCATGACAACTTGACATTACGAAGACAACACAACCTGTCATAAACATGACATCAAACTTAAGAAATCACCTAGCTTTATTGGTTAACATTACATTAAACTGTCAGGTGGTTGGTTTTGACATTGGCTGTCATGACATTTTAATGACAAATTCAATGTGTACGACTGTAGTTGAGGTCACGAAAAATATTCATGACACAGTCATAACGGCCTCATGACAGCCAATGTCAAAGCCAACCACATGACAGTTTAACTTAATTTAAGGTCATGTTGTCATGACAAAGACACTGACAGGTTATGATGTTATGGTTGTGTGTTATGGCACACCCCTTCAAGTAAAGTGTTACCAATTTTTCTTTGAAATGTGTCACATTATAGAAGTTCAATGTGACCACTATTTTATGTTGTCAACGGGACACGGTGTGATTGAATACGAATTAGACTGCAGACTAGAGAAAACATGGTTGGCGGGGTCAAATAGATCAAATTCTTATCAGCGTGTCAGCAACCCTGTCAAACTCTTACTGTATCATCACACACTGGCACCCTCGGTATTAATCACACCTCACTCTACCTGACCCATTGCATGTACGGTCACGCTCTCTTCCGCCTGCCTCTCCTCAAGCTGATTTATTGCCATCATGACTCTGTTTTCAAAGCAATATATGTAGATCCCCCTTGCATTCGGGATCTGCAGTGAATTCAAATAGTGGGAAGCCCATTCAGTAGGTCCTCCATCTGGCTCTCTCTTTCTCTTCTCCCTCTCTGTATCGCTCCATCCAGGCGTACTCCTCATTCCTGTTCATTTCCAAAGAGGATGATTGAACACACTTCACTTCTTCTTGTCATTTCATCATCCTTTGTTCGGTGTGGCACCACACAACATGTTTAAGGCTGGGCTCAGTAAACATGACGATGGCATCTTTTGATTATGTGCTCTAAGTAACAATGCGACAAAGAGCCTGTAAGAAACCAAGTGTAAAATAACCGCTTTGTTTGCCCGTGATTGCGACAAATGGAAAATCACTCCATTTTGGCCAACCAGTTTTGGAGGACTATTTGCTCGCAATTATAAAAGTAAAACTTTTCAATCCTAGTTCGCAATATGAGTGAGTCTGCCTTTTCATAAAGCAGCGGCTCTTTTCAGTGGGGATGTAATAACGGCTTTCATTTTTCCGTTGCTTTGGCCACACCTCTGTCACACTTTTCATAATGGCAGAAATAAATTAAATCTATGTCCTATGAATGCTAAAGAGAATGTCTTTTGTGAAACAAAGCCTCTAAAATAAATAACAGGCATTAGAAAAGGATGAATGAAAATCTGTGAGTGTCACACATGGTGCCAAAATTAAGCAAGGGCTTATTTAAGCCTATCTCTCCCTCGCTCCCTCACCGGTAAATCTAAGCCGCTGTTTGACATGAACTTAGCCACCTCTGATGTGAAGCTGTTTTATATGCCAATGTTAACTGCCTCTCCCTCATCCTCTCAAAGCAGTCGCCATGACGATTCCCCTGCCCATTGTGGCATAAAGCCTGTGTTACTTAATGTCTTGTTTTCAAACACTCTGATCTGAATTCTCTTCATGCATAAGAAAAGACACAGCACACATATCTGAATCTGAGAGGATGTACATGGAAATGAGAATTTGCATGCATGTCTTTGCAATTAACTCTCTTCAGTCCTTGTCCTCTAAATTGACGGGGCGAAAGGTTTTCTGATGAATGCTCTAGAACTTTTGACTTTGGATCACTCTGCTCTTTCCTTTCTGTGATGTTGAGCAACAAGTAGTTGTTAATCCCTCTTCGGCTTCGACTATTTTCATTAGCGGATCAAAAATGGACCCATATTTCTAAAATGCTTTGTACTCAATATTACAGATATTACCTAAAAAATATTCATAAAATTTGGTCATCCTTTATCATATGACTTTATTTCCCTTGTGAAACATAAAAAAAGATGGTTTGAAATAATATTTTTGTCCACACAATGAAAGTCCAATGTATTTTTTGACAATTAGCTTTCACTGTGTGGACAATGCTGGATTACTTCTGCCGATCGTAGAGTCCAATGCTATAAGGAGAATTTATATTGGGTTTTATACTCTATGGCTATACTAAAGAAACGTTAGTCACAAAAACAGACAAAAAAGACACCCCTCATTTTGTTTATGCTTCTTTGTTTATTATATTAAATAAACATAACTATATGAAGAGTTCAGATGCAAAAGCCTCTAGGTGCCATTTGAAATTTTGTTCTAGAATGACCATTTTTATCAAGCTTGTGTATTTAAGTTCAGTAATTTCACTTAAATGACAATTAATAGGTACTCTTCATTGCCATTTAAGTGAAATTACTGAACTTAAATATACAAGCTTGATAAAAATTATAATTTTGGAAGAAAATTTCATATGGCACTTAGAGGCTTTTGCATCTGAACTCTTCATATATAAACAACGCATTCTCACCCCAAGGCGTCACCTTTGACCATGCTTCAATATTTGACGTTTTAGGCGCCCTTTAGCGTCACTTACATGACGCGATCCTACGGCGTCATCTAACTGACGCTAAAGGAAAGCGTC